AGCGATCTTTCTCCTTGTAGGCTTCCCACGGCGCTGCTTCCAACGACTGGATCTGTTGTTACTGACTTGCTGCTGGTTGACTTGGTACTTTGACTTTTACAATTCACCGTTACACATTTCGCCCTCTGCATACGGCCCCACACTAGGGGGCTAAGCGCGGCGATCTACCGTTAACCCTTCGCTCCTTCTCTCCAAACTCTCTTTCCTCGTACTCCCCAAACTCTCTTGAACTGAATTTTCCAAACACTTCCTTCCCGCAGTGCCGATACTACGCGCATTCGCTGCGTATCCAGCAGCTGGCAGCCCTCCGTACAATCGATCTCTTCATCTATTTGTGCGGAGTTATTTAACTCCTCACAGTATGTAACAGGCAGAAGGAAGCGTTTCCGACCCCCATGAAGTATTTATACTCTTGATCAGGATCACTAGCCGAGTCGATCTAGCCATGCCCGTCTGTCCGTCCGTCAGGATGAACGCTGAGATCTCGGAAACTATAAGAGCTAGGCTATCGAGATTTGCCATGCAGATTCCTAAGCTTCTTGCGCAGCGCAAGTTTGTTTCAGCAGCGTGCCACGCCCACTTTAATGCCCACAAACCGCCCAAAACGGTGGCTCCTACAGTTTTGATGCTAGAATAAAAATTAACTGAAATGTATTGCTCTCATCAATACCTATAGATTGACCCAAAAAACAGTTTGCCACATCCACTTTAACGCCCAAAAACCGCCCTTAAACTTCAACAAATCGTAAATATGAACGCGGATAGCTCGGAAACTATAAAAGATATAGAATTGGGATTTCAGATTTAGATTCCGTAGCCTTGTACGCAGCGCAAGTTTGTTACGCGAATAGGCCACGCCCCACAATACGCCCAAGCCACAATTGTCATGCTACATACAACATTTTAACTGAAATGTATTATGCTCGTCAATACCTATCAATTGATAAAAAAATTTGCCACGCCCACTTTAACGCCCAAAAATCGCCTAAGCCTGTGGAGCCTACAACTTTCATGCTAGAAAAAAAATTTAACTGAAATGTATTTGTCTCGTCAATACATATCGATTGACCCAAAAAAAAAAGTTTACCACGCCCACTCTAACGCCCATAGCGCTTAAATCTGTCCATTGCCCACATAACCATATATTGAGATCGCGGGTAGGTGGCGTATTTCAATCTCGCTTTGCTGCTTGCATATCTCCCTTTCCCTTTGGTCCCTTTAGCTGAGTAACGGGTATCTGATAGTCGAGCTACTCGACTATAGCGATCTTCCTTGTTAGCTTGTTGAACAATTTATAATTTTTTTTTTATAAATATATTCCAACTTTCGTCGACGTTATGATCACCTGATTTTGTAAACGTTCCAGTTTAGGTACATTTTTAATTTCTTTTCCAGTTGATTTTTAGACGATATATACCCTTTGAATTTGTTTTTATACTACCGATCTTTCCCTGGTACATGCTAAGCGAAAATGTTCAGTTTTATAACTTTTGAAACCAAAATCCCGCAAAGCAGTACCGTTTCTTATTTTAGGTAAGAGCCGCATTAGCGTTGGCCTTTGTGAACAGAATCACATTTTCCAAACAATCATTATACATAATAAAAGGGGGAAGCTAACTTCGGAAAGCCAAGTTTCTATACCCTTGCAGGTCGTTTCCGTGGGAGCATTCTATGCACAGAGCTTTCCGATTTTTAGAAAACTAAAAACTAATTTCAGAAAGCGAAATATATCGGTCTTTGTATTGTTTTGACATTAATTATCCGATCGTTCCTATGGCATCCAACTGATAAAGTCGTCAGAGTTTTTTAAAATTTGATTTGAAGTTCTAAAATATTAAAAAAAAATTAATTTCCCCAGAGTAGAAGTTAAGTTTTTATTTTATTATATATTTTTTCTCATTCTTATTGGAATTATAGAATATAGTTGTCCGATCAGGCTTGTTCATACTTACTTACTACCTGCAATATAAATAAGACTTTTGAGAAGGATTCATCCCGATAGACTAGTTTGAGAGACTAGTTTGCGTAGAAACGGACAGACTTAGCTAGATCGACTTGTCTAGTAATGCTGATCAAGAATGCATTCACTGCGTTGCAAACTTCTGACTGAAATGCTAATCAAGTTCAAGCCAGAAAAGGTTAGATGTGGATGTATAGTTGCTATCTAGTACCAAGTCTCTCCCTGGATTCCTTTAGGCATGCATTGGACGAGATTGCCTTCGCTACCCAACCATCATTGCCGTCAATTTCAACAACAATATTTGGGTACGATTATTACTCGAGGCCATTGCAACTCTAGACGTGGCGCTACTAAGCGACGGTACGCGGAAAACGTAAATCCGGGCAGAAGCCGGATCTATCATAGACCTCAGATCCTCGTTAGCCCGATGTTTTCACTGGAAAATCAGCGATTTCTTCACGGCTAGCGACCACGAGGCAATTCTGTGTACAGCAGGTACCCGCTGAGGACCAGCAATCAGGAACAGAGAAGTCAATGGCTACCGCAAAGATACGCTAAATGCCCAAGAGATGTGCAGGTGCCTCGCGGACTTGCAATTTAACTCGAACGCTGCCTCAAACACCAATGCCCACGGGATCGCAAACTGTCTGGAAGACGCGTGCAGGACAGGAATGAGAGAAGAGCTATTCAAAGGTCGAGGAGGCCGGACAGGTGCAAGATTTCACACGCCAATTTTAAACAAGCCAGGAGGTTCATGAACAGGTCCCTGACAGCAAATAAAGGAAGCCGAAGTTGCTGAAGCCTGTCGCAGACCAAGAAGGTGCCAGGGCCGGTTGCAAGATCCAACAAAGCGATGAAGGTGGCGCTGGCGTTCCGGCCGGGCACGTTTGCGGAGCTCTACAACGCGTGTCTACGCGAGGGAGGAAAATCCAGAGGCTGCTGCTCCCAAACAAACCAAAGATGTTACCCTCCAGGGCGAAGTTGGCGAAGTGTGTGCACTCGAAGCTGCAGGCGGTCTCTCCCTCAACCAGTTTGGTTTTCCAAAGGGGAAACTCCACATTAGACGCGATCCAAACGGTCACCGGGATAGCGGCGGAAGGCGGAGCGAAAAAGCACTGCCTGCTGTTCACGCTCGACATTAAAAATGCGTTCAACACAGCGAACTGAAGGCAGCATACCCAATCAAGGTCTTCGACAGCTACCTTGGTGAAAAGTTGGAGCTGTTTGAAGCCAAAATATGCCATTGACATTAACAAGCTGCTTTAAGCTGCTGTCCATCAGGTGCCATGCACCATCTTTAATGGATGGCGAGAGCAAATTATTTTAACAAAATAACTTTGCTTAGCTTCCAGCTGAAGGGAGAACTACGTGGCTCACTTTTTTGTTAGTATAGCTTTTAATACCATTTAATTGTAGAGTAAAAAAAAAATTTATTAGGTTAGTTGGCGGGAAAGTGCGTAAGAGGCAGATGTAAGGGTTTCCGACCCTATACAGGATCACTACCCGAGTCGATCGATTTATTTTAGTCTGTCCGACCGCCCGTATGAACATGTGAGGAGTTAAATAGTTCCGCAATACTTAAACCAGGAATAACTTTATGGAGACCTGCCAGTTGATAAGAACGCAGTGAATTCGCGTAGTAACAGCAATTCGGGAAAAAAAGGTTTGAATAATGCATTTAAAGAGTTTGGAGAGTACGAATAGAGTTTGAAGAATTCGAACAGAGAGGATTAACGGTGCCAAGAGGTCTATAGAACCGGGCCCAGCGCTGGAAGCGAGATTGTTCATCGTGAGTCAAACCGCGAGCGAAAAACGGCAGGTAAAGTCAAAGTCAAGGAGATACAGCCGTGAAAGCCAGGAAGGAGCAGAATTGCTACGTCGAGACGATCGATGCAATATGTGTCACTGAATTGAGACACAGGTAGCTGAGGTTTTTAGAAGCAACACGCGGCTATGTTGAGGAGAGACCCGGTCTACTGTTACAAGGACTGCTCTAGCTAGGTTGGACGTATGATCGAATAGTTAAGCAGGAATTGAGCAGACGTGGCGCCGTCTGCATATGCGTCAGGCGGGACCGGCCAGGACAGAGAAAGGGAGACAGGAGGCTGTGGATGGCAGGATGTAAGTCTTGAAAGCTCGGTGCCTGTTCAACCTAGTCTCAGAGCGATGACGTTTCCCTAAGGCCCAAACGCCGCGCTATATCTTACGAGTGGCAGCGTAAGTACCGGAGCAGCGGAGGCCACCGTAAGGTCGTCGCACGAGAAGCACTAGCACGGGATACATCAGACCCGTAAACAAACACCACTTAACAGGAAGGTTGTTATTATTGTTATTAAATTTGGACGGACGAATTTCGTATCGAGCAGACCAAAGACAACAGTTTGTTACAAACGCTGAGGTCTCGGGAACTATAAAAGATACAGAGATCGGATTATTCTTAAGATTCTAGAGATTCATGCGCACAAAAAATGGTTGCGACCGGCTTCCACATTTTAAAAGATTTTGTAAAGGTGTAAATTGGATTTTGCCTTAAAAAAATTGTTTAAATTGGAGCATAAGATGTTATGATGTTATGAACAAATATTGGATATCTTCATCTCCCTTGCACTCCCTTTAGTTGAGTAACAAGAACATGATAGTCGAGGCACTCTTCCTTGTTTGTTTTAATTGCGATTTGGTAGAATCGGACAGATAAACGAACAGACGTACTTGGCTAGATCGATAATATATACCTTATAGGGTCGGAATAGTCTCCCTCACACCGTTGAAATCTTTAACTGCAAGGGTATTCAAATAGTATGTCAGTCGACGCACATTTTCGGCAAGAATACAACCATGCTATACTGAAACATACATCACCGGCCTCAATATTCTAATGTTTTCTTCTACCTTATCACCCTTTCTTGTGAAAAATTTGATTTTATCGCGGTTATATATAATAAGTACGCTCCCGGTGCATATGTTAACTCTGTGTACTGCCGATTACAGTAATATTGCAAAAATATTTTTAAAACTTTTCATAATTAATATTGGTACTTACCTGACTTATTAAAGTAGGGGATCCGTTTAAAGCAGAAACCAGAGGATCCATTAACATTGGAAGATAAGGTAGTAAAGACGACAACCGAACTGGGACCGTAAGGCAAAGTTCCACAAAAAGGTCCCGCATATGCTGTTTATGATATCCACTCTGAAGGCGATTTAGTCCTTCCAAAAGATTTGGTAGAAGTGGCAAAAACTCTTGATATAGAAGGTCATGGCTACCACCACCAATGGACCTAAACAATGCCCTTAGAAGTAAAAAGTAGTTATACGGCTCGTCCGAAATCAAAGCCAATTCCATTGATTGAGTAACTATTTTATGAAGATGTGGACGCAACATTTGTTCATTTTCGACTGGAAAAAGACTAACGCTTCCAAAAACTAATTTGAATAACCGTAGATACAAGTTGGAACGCTCCAGATTTGATCCCATTTCTTTCATTTTTTCTAAAAGATATTCGACCAACACAGTGGCAAAAAGTGGTGAGGTAGTAGGATTTGCTAAAAACGAGTTGGCTATTACTTGCAAGGACTGATTTTTATATATTCTTTCCACTAAGAAATTAATTGTTGTTGAAAATACTTCTTGGAAGTTTTGGGAATGCATCATTAAGAACTGTTAAAAAAATAAGAAAAGAATTATTTAGTTAATAAGAATAATGTAAAACTCTCTTCGCAGACCGAAGATTTTCCTTGTTTTTACTAAGCTTAAAGTTCACTGCCCCATTTCACGATTTTTATTAGACACTTATGGCGTTCGTGTTTCTGAGTCGATTAACAATCTTTGGACAATTTCTGAATAAATTTTAACAATCTTTTCAAAACATCTGTACGTTAAAAAGGACATTTATATTTTATTTATTTTATTTTAGTTCTTAAAAAGAATATTTCTTTTTTCCCATTTAGAAGTTGTCATAAGCCATAAGAATATAAGATTGTGCGAAACAGACTGTTAAGCGACGCACAAACAAAAACGCCAAAGGCATCTTATAAATGTTAGCCAGATGCACTACTTACTGCAACGTGCGTACGTAGAAAAATGCAGAGGGTTTGTTGAAAAAAAAGCGACATTTTAAAAGCCAAAAATGGTTCCAACTTTTTAAGAAAATCCATTGAAGGTAACAACAATTAAACATCACTTTTTTTGTAGGGACAAGCCTTCAAATTTATAAAAATCTTTACTTGTTTCTTTTTTATACAAGAAATGAATGTCTTAAATAATATATTATTGTACCCTTGCAGAGGGTATAATTATTTCAGTCGGAAGTTTGCAACGCAGTGAATTGAGAAGTTTCCGACTCCATAAAGTATAAATATTTTGATCAGTATCACTAGAATTGTCGATCTGGCCATGTCTGTTTGTCTGTTTCTACGCAAACTAGTCTCTCAGTTTTAAAGCTATCGGGACGAAACCTGCCCAAAAGTATATAAGTTGGAACGAGCTTGATCGGACAGCTATATCGCACAGCTCCCACAGGAATGATAAAAAAAAATTGTAAAACAAGGAAAAACGCAATAGTCGAGTACCTCGACTATCAGATAGCCGTTACTCAGCTAAAGGGACCAAGAGGGAGATGGAGATATGCAAGTAGCAAAGCGAGATTGTAATGCACCACCTATCCGCGATCTCAATATATGGTTATGTGAGCGGCATACAGATTTAAGCGTTATGGGCGTTAGAGTGGGCGTGGCAAACTTTTTTTTGTGTAAATCGATAGCTATTGACGAGACTAATACATTACAGCTAAGATTTTTTATCTACCATGAAAGTTGGCGCAATAGATTTGGGCGGTTTGGGGCAATCGATAAGTATTGACGTGACTAATACATTTCAGTTAAAATTTGTTTTCTAGCATGAAAATTGTGGGAGCCACAGATTTGGGCGGTTTGTGGGCGTTTGAGTGGGCGTGGCACCCTGCAAAATCAAACTTGCTCTGCGCAAGAAGCTCAGGAGTCTACATACCAAATCCCAACTAGCTTTTGCAGTTTCCGAGATCTCAGCGTTCATCCGGACGGACAGACAGACGGACATGGCCAGATCGACTCGGCTAGTGATCTTGGTCAAGAACATATATACTTTATGGGGTCGGAATCGCTTCCTTCTACCTGTTACGTACTTTCCCACGAATCTAGTATACCCTTTTACTCTACGAGTACGGGAAAAGCTTCTGTCTTTTTTGAAATATATACACTGGACTCTTTAGAATTTCAGAGTTTCGAATACAATTTTAAAAAATGGGAGGACTTTATCATATTGCTGCCATAGGATCGGATAACTAATGTCAAAATAATAAATTTTGTTTTAAGTAAACATACGGTCGAAAATTGAAATGAAACACTAACAATTTTTGTAATTAGTTTTCAGTTTTTTAAAAATCGGAAAGCTTTTTACATACAATGCTCCCACGGGAACGGCCTGCAATGGTATAGAAACTTCGGCGTGCCGAAGTTAGCTTCCTTTCTTGTTTAAAGATACAATAGAACGCTAGAGGGGACACTAAGAATTTGAGCTTTAAACGCCATTAGATGAAGAAGTAATTTAGTTTCTGTCATTTTCAAATTTCATAAAATATTTGTATTCTATTTGAGTTACATTACTGGACATTAGTCGCCCGCGAGATTTTAAAATGTAATTTCTGCAGCAAAATTCGCAACAACTTAAAACATTCTTTGTGAGGCAAGGATACTTGAAGGATAATTGATTATACGGATTTTCTTGGTGTTTAATAGTTTTCATGGTGCCAGTCATGCTACTACTGTGCCAGTGATGTGCCAGAGGTGATTTCACCTGTAAAGCGATCCAAGACGCGGGAACGTCAAAAATAAGTTGACACCGCCGAATTTTCAGGGTATAATGATACTCTGTAGATCAAAAAAGAAAACAAGGAAGAACGCTATAGTCGAGTACCTCGACTATCAGATACCCGTTACTCAGCTAAAGGGACCAAAGGGAAATGGAGATATGCAAGCAGCAAATCGAGATTTAAATACGCCACCTACCGGCGGTAGACAGATTTAAGCTTTATGGGCGTTAGAGTGGGCGTGGCAAAATTTTTTTTGGATCAATCGATAGGTATTGACGAGATTAATACATTTAAGTTAAAATTTTTTATATAGCATGAAAACTGTGGCCGTCACAGGTTTGGGCGGTTTGTGGGCGTTAGAGTGGGCGTGGCAATTTTTTTTTCGGGTCACTCGATAGGTATTGATGAGAAGAATACACTTATGTTAAAATTTTTATTCTAGCATCAAAACTGTAGGAGCCACAGTTTTGGGCGGTTTGTGGGCGTAAGAGTAGGCGTGTCACATTGCTGAAACAAACTTGCGCTGCGTAAGCTCAGGAATCTGCACGCCAAATCTCAATAGCCTAGCTCCCATAGTTTCCGAGATCTCAGCGTTCATCCGGACGGACAGACAGACGGACAGACGGACATGGCTAGATCGACTCGGCTAGTGATCCTGATCAAGAATATATATACTTTATGGGGTCGGAAACGCTTCCTTCTGCCTGTTACATACTTTCTGACGAATCTAGTATACCCTCTTACTCTACGAGTAACGGGTATAAAAATTAAATTGACATGAGTTCGGTTCTCTGCGTCAAAATTGCAGTTTCAAATCATGAAGACAGAACTAAAACAAAAATGTTCTCATCATATATAATTTACAGCGGTAGTAAATTTATAAATCTTTTTACCCCAATACTGGGGCCAGGATAGTTTGAAAAGTATTTTGACATTTTGCATAATTTCTCGAAGACTTGCAATTGAATTCTAAATTTTTTAGAAAAATGTATAGCCAAGAGATCCAATGATCTCACTGTCATGGTAATGACTCTTTATTTAATTTTGTAAATTGACCTGCCACTAGTCGCATTAAAGGTGCATCCCATTCTAAATGTAACTTAGATTACCGAATAAAAAGATTCACATTAATTATTTCCATAGTTTTTGGAAATATTAATGTTTTTACAAAACACACACAAATGAAACTTTTGTTTGTTTGTTTATCGGAAAAAAATTATTATTGTCATTTAAATGTTTAAGATGTAGGTTACGTTCCTGTTAAAATTTCGTTTGTACTTATAAATAAGGAAAACTATATTTTTGCTGTCCAACCAAACTTTTCTTACTATCCTTACCGCACTCTCCACAATTACATCTTCCTTTAAAAAAAATAATTTTTGAAGTAATTTTTTATTTGTTTAAATGTAACGTAAATATTTTTGTTATTTATTTATACAAAGCTAGCTTAAAGTTAAAACTATAGACAAACTAAATTAAGAGCTCTAGCAGCAAAGACCTCAGCTCGTCTGAGGTGTGGAATTAATTACATTTTTATTTAAATTTAAATTATAAACTTAATTTGGGCTTTTTCAAGGAATGAGATGATTTTAATGATGTTGTCGGGAGTTAGGTTTGAGATGGTGTTGGTGGCGTTAAATGAATGAAAGGATTATGATCTGGGCTGGGATAAGAACGGGCAGTGGAAATCGATTTGTTGGATGGTAGAATTGGCAAGTGTTGGGAAGTGTTCTGTCCCTCTAATGGACATTAGTGAGTTTGATACGACCTAGTCTTAGCCGGTGTATGAGTGTTTGTGTTTTCCTATTGGTGTTTGGAGGTATGTGACAGATGAATTGCAGTGAGGTCTGTAGCATTTATTTGTACCAAGGAAATACATTGCTGTACATGTCTGCTTGTATTGATTCTGTGTTTTTTCAAGAAGTGTGAAATGTCGTTAGAGTTGTTGTTTGCGGAGTAGGTAAGGGGGAGTACTTCTGAGCCTCTTTAGCTGCTTTATCGGCGTTTTCGTTCCCTGTTGTGCCGATGTGGCTGGGTTGGATCCCTAATTAGTTTCCCCCATAGTTTAATTTTAGGGAAGTTGTTAGAAACGAGGTTTCTGATGGTTGAGGGATAGTAGGAATGGTTATTGGAGTTGGTGAGGGACTTTAGTGCAGAGAGAGAGTCTGAGCAGACAGCTTGTTTGCCTGGTATTTTTAACGCAATTTAAACAGCTTCATGGAACGCTATTAGCTCGGTAGAGTGAACGGATGAGTAGTGGGGAAGTATTCCTGTTTTGATTGCTTAGTTTCGCTAGTTACGCTATAGCTGATTATAACGTTGGCCGTTGAGCCGTCGGTTTAAAGAAACTGGTGGTTAGGCAGAGTGTTCTTTAGAGATTGAAAGAGCTGTTTATATACTCGTATTGTGGGAGATGTGCTGGTGCTGGTGATGTGTTAGTAGCTTAGTTAATAATATCCATGTGGTATTTTTTATTGGTGCGAAGAGAAGGTTAAGTTCCTTACAGATGTAAATTATTCTGTCTTTTGTACTGGGCTTTTTGAATTTTTTTTTGGAGGTTTTAGTAAGCTTTTTAAGGGGTTGTCAAATGAGTGTATAAGTTTTTTTGAGAGTTAAAAGTTGTATTCTCTTTTATATTGCTTATATTGGCTTCTTTAAGTAGGTTGTTAGTTGGTGTTGTCCTAAATGCACCTAGCGCTGATCTGGTTGTTGAGTTTAAGGAAGTTTTTATACGGTTAATAGCGTTTCCGTAAATGGGCAGACAGTAATCTACTTTTGAGTTGAGGATGGATTCTACAATATGGATTAGCGA